GTGATGGAAGTACGCTTTTTCTTCTATATTACAAGGATTATAAAATGCAGAAGAAAAGGTCACTTCTCCTCTCTAAAACATCAGTAGCGTTGACACACGGAACAACCCATGAGGGCGTGCGGTAACCCGCACTGAACATGCACTTAATAAAAAAAACCCACACATTGTAATAGTCCAAACATTTACAATGCTGGTGCTGGCAAATATAGTCCGCTTTCCTCTATTAATTACAATTCAGAGAGGACAGCTTCCGGAATGAAACAAAAACCAGTCCTTATATTATGTAATACGCTCCCATAGTGGCACTCATGACACCACATACCCCCGACGATCAGTTCTCCTTCTTGAGTTCCCCGGCTTTGCGCCACTTGATGTACATGGGCTTGAGTGCATCCACACCGGAAAGCACACCGGCGCCAGCAACACCGCGCAGGATATTGGCTCCAGCCCCACGCATCAATGCTGCGGTACCCTCCTGCTTGATCACCTGCATCATGCAGTCCATCGAGCTCTTGTACTTCACAGCGGCGCCCGACGTCATCATCATGCGACGACGGACGGTGTCCAGTGGATATGAGAGAAGACCAGCAACGATCGTCACAGCCCATCCGAGGAAGAAGTTCACGATGAACGTGTCAACGGGCAGCATTGGCTGCAGCGTGTCATACAGGCCAAAGTAAAAACCACGGTACACAACGATGCCCACGCACGAGACCATGAAACCACGGTACAGCCCAACAATACCATCACTCTTCCATGTCTTCACGTAGCAGTCAATCAGGCCGTTGAACTGGCGCTCACCACCCTTCTTTGCAGACTTGGTGTCGTTTGCGAGCCGCGTACGCACGTAGTCCAGCGAGTATACAAAACACAGCGATGCAGCACCAGCGAGACCACCGGACGCCATGTTGCCCATGAACCACTTCGCGTAGCCGTCCCTCTCCTTCTTGTAGTTGAACATGCGCTTGAACGTGTCCTTGAAGGCAAAGTTCAGCGCCTGGGTGGGGAAGTAACGGATGACATTGGAAAGGTTACCGCGCCACAGGGAATACACACCCTCTGTCTTCATAGTGCGGGCGAAGCAGTCAATCACACCATTGTAGGGCTTGTCCAGTCGGCCCTGCTTGATCATCTCACCCTGATTTTGCACGAGCAGCTTGACGCGTTCGATGGGAGCAGCAACCGTCTTGGCCACACCAGCGGCCACACCGCCCACCATGAATTCCTCGAAGAATCCGAGCTTGGGGAGCTTTTCGCGCTTCGATGACATACTTTAAAAAGGAGCCTTCGCGTGATGGAAGTACGCTTTTTCTTCTATATAGGAAGCAAAGTATTTGTATGGCAGACAAACGCGAAACCAAAGGAAAATAGTTTTTTTTTGTTCTGGAAAGGTTTTTGCTGATGATAGTTGCTGTTGTAGCGTATCAAATTTCCCAAAAATTGTTTTCAGAGTTGCCAGAGTCTTAAGGTTGGATTTGTGGCCAAAATAAAGCAATAACGTGGAGTGCCTCGGTTTTTGCTTGCTTTTTCATCTATCTAAAAATTTGACGGTGTACCTCATTCTCGATTGCACCAATAAAAAAAGAATGAGATCATCAGTGCCAAAGTAGGTATTGGTTGTAAAGAAGAGTACTAAATTCTCTGGAGTTTAACAGTGGGACGCTTATTGATGTGACAGAATGGGAGGGTAGAAAAATCGTACTACGATCCACAATTCCTTTTCTTTGTTTTTTTTTTTATTTTGTGAATACAAAATGCTTTGATTCTCACCCTTTCGTTTAACATTCTTTCTTTTTATGTATTCCATTTTTTTTTTTTCTTCTCTTATTATTGATCGCAACCAAACCAAGCTCATCATGCTGGTTTGCCATAAAGAACTAGTACGCCCGGTTGGTAAGAAATGCACAAAATGTTCGCATCATCACTTTTGGTAGCGAATCTTCAAGAAGAGGATCAAGAACCTCCCATTTTTCATCGACAATATTCCTTGCTTCCTCTAGGCAATCATCAATCGCATTAACACTGTTAAGCAGGTCCACGACTTCTTTAATCTTACCACAGTCTGATGTGTGCTCTTGTAAAATTTCCCAAATACGCTCTCTTTGAGAAAGAGTTAACCTTCCCATTGCCTTCGCAACAGGGTACGTGATTTTACCATCACGGATATCCTCCCCGGCCTCTTTGAGATCTCCTTCAAACCCCTTAACGTTCAACGCATCATCAACGATTTGAAATGCTAAACCAAGACTTAGTCCAAAACTCTCCATAGCTGATGTTACCTCCTTATTTGCATCACACAAAATGCACGCAACATGACATATTGCACCTGCGACCGCTCCTGTTTTGTAAGTGTGAATAGCCTGCAGGGCATCATGAAGAGGAATTGAGTTACCAGTCCGAACAACGTCAGGCATCAGAGAGCCCAAACCACGAATGTCCAATCCCTGTCCAGCATGACCTGCTTTCATTACATCAAAATATAGCTCATACACACGATTAGCCTTTTCAACAGGAAGTAAATGAACTTCAGCTAGGGAAACAGCCATAAAATAACACGCTGTCCCAGCGTTTATCGCTATAGGAACGCCGAAATCAATATGAGCAGTTCTACCTCCACGACGAATCGTAGACTCATCTTCAATATCATCGATAACAAGAGACCCCACATGAAGAAGCTCTGCAATAGCAATATATCTCGTGCAATCAAAATAATCACGTGAAAGGGCATTGCAACTTGAAACAAGTACCAAACTGCGCCACGCTTTCCCACCTCTATCGATAATAGAACGAATTGGACGGAACAATGTGTCACATACATCTCGTGAAACAACGCCTTTGTGAGTACAATAACGGCCCAGCACATTTTGGGCAATCCATTCGTCTGTTGTCTCCAAAGGATATATGTTGGAAAGAGTTTTTCCCACAAAACGACCTACATTTTTCAACAATTTCGAAATATCACCCTTTGAATTAAAACACTTCTGCTCACAAAACCCAATCACATTCACAGGGCTACCATTGCACTTTCCATCCCCGTTCACACGCCCTTCGTAGAAACCTCCTGATACCACAACAGTAACAAATTCTTGATGCGAAAATGCGGCACGTACATCAAGCGATACTCCAAGAGATGGCACCTCAATGTGATATTTCAAGGGGTACTCAAGAAACGTTACCAAGCTTGTCCACCAATCGCTTTCGTTTACTGTAATATCATGACAGAGACGTCTTTCACCATTATCCGAAGTAAGGACCGCAAGAATTTCTTTCTTCTTACCAGTCACAGCATCTACAATATCGAATATGCTGAGCTGCGAGCCATTTGAAAGTCGTAGAGAAAACCAGGTCCAACTATCAAGAGCATCCCTTCCCGTCTCGTCCTCAGATCCTCCATATTCCCGATCATACCATCCATCACCCTCAACATAGGTGATCAAATCTCCTATTTGTATCCGTCCTTTAACTTCCATAGATGGATAATAGTAATAGAACATATTGTTCACGATACCATCATTGCCATGTAAAACAGGGCCTGTTCTTGCAGAGAATTCCAAATCCACTGTAATACCCCTCAAAGGGTTGTGATGATGAACAGTGTACCTACGTTTATCTCCATCTCCCTCTCCGGTAATCCTGCATTCATCATCATAATTGATTTCGAGGCGACTCTTGTTGTATACAGCAGCTCTTTTCATCGCTCTATCTGGTCGAGGAAGATGCCCCTTCTTGGCCATTTCCAAAATTACACTCTCCGAATGATTAATATCACTCCCACTATTCGAAGACACCTCTAGTCGCTCAGCAATGATTGATGTCGCCTTATGATCAAGTAAACTGTCAGCATAGTACTTTTCCTCACCTACATCGATCAAAGCCCACGTACAAGCACTCGAGTACTCTTGATCTTTATATGAATCAAATCCTCTCTTTTGGCGAAAGAAAGACGCAAAAAAGGAAAACTCCTTTTCTCCCTTTCGATCGCGCAAATGAGCATTGAGGTACCACCACTGGAGAGGCGACGAGTCGCACAGTAAATCCATCACAGATGGTATTACTGGCTGGTCTGTGGCGGTAATATATGGTATTTGTGCCTTTGTCTTTTCATTGTCATTTCTGGATCGTTTTACACCTCTCATTAGGCTAAACTTTCAATTCAAAACACAAAAAAAGGTGTTTTATATTTTCTTTCCTTTTGAAGGAGAGATATATTTGAAAAAAAAAGTCCAACTTCCTCTTAAAGCTTTTAAGCACCAAATATCAAACCAAGAAACCACGACTGCAAATATACGATTCCACCCAATTGCCGTTTTCAATCGAACACAATTAAAGTCCACAAATTCCAACAAAACGAAAAACGACCACACTGCGACAAAAAAAACCATTACCATAAGCTTCTTCAAACATAATGCGGGCACCGCCCCG